AGCAGTCAAGGCGTCAAGCTGGGTTACCTACATCTACTGCCGAGGTGAAGAATGCGTGGAGCTATATCTCCACTCCGCTATACGTGTTCATGGCGTTTTAATTAAGCACAGGAACAGTTTCACTTTGAGCTATGTGAAGCCAGTGCTGAGCAGGTTGGCTTAGCGGTAAAGCCCCTGATTGATATTCGAAGTGTGCACGGTTCGAATCCCACCCGGAATACCTTATAATCTGACTGAGATTTGTTATTGTTTTCTTCAGTCATTCCAGGCAGATGCCAGGATAGTACCTCCACCCTTATACTGTGACCTTTCCCCGGGGTGTAAAGCGACTGGGTCCTGAAGCTGATCGCTCACCTATATTTTGGTTCGGAGGTTAAGAATGGTGGAGCTGTACCTTCGCTTCTCCATTCGTCATCATGGTGTGGACCGGTGATCAGTCCGTCACAAGGCCGCCACCTAAACACAGGACAACGCACACACAGACATCCATGCTTTGAGTAGGATTCGAGCCCACGATCCCAGCGTTCGAGCGAGCGAAGATATTTCACGCCGTAGACCGCGCGGCCACTGTGATCGGCTGGATAAATATACCTTACCTTCTTATAGTGAAATTTGTAGCTACTTTATCCTCATTATACAAAAGCGAAACACAAGAATATATTCTGTGGGAAAATGCAGAGTTTCTTTAATGTTAAATGTGGGGAGAAGCTATTCCTGTAACAGGCTGTGGAGGCCCATAGGGTTGTGCGACGTAAAGGCTGCAACATTTTCCTAGACAATCGGCTCACAGATGGCGGTGAGGTTGTAAGCATTACGCGCCGGCCGCCCTTTACCCCCAGGAAGATTCCTGGTACTCATTTCTGTTAGAGGTTGAGTCAACTCCAAGGTCATAGTGCGGCTGGAAGGGTTAGGTAAATTAAAAAAAAAATCCAATGACCTCATCGGGAATCGAAACCGCGATCCTCCGGCTTGTAGCACAGTGCCTCGACCAACTACGCTACCAAAGTAAGTAAAAAAAAGTAAAAAAAATTAAAAGGTAAAGCTATCCCTGTAACAGGCCGTGAAGGCCGTAGGGTTGTGAGACGTTGAGGCTCCCACATTGTCTAGACAGTCGACTCAAAGATGGCGGTCAGGTTGTCAGCCTTACGCGCCGGCCGCGCTTTACTCCCCAGGAAAATTATTTATTTAATTCCTGTTACTCATTTCCGTTAGAGGCTGATTAAACCCCAGGGTCATAGTGCGGCTGGATGGATTAGGTCAACTGAAAGAAATCCAATGACCTCATCGGGACTTGAACCCGCGACCTTCCGGCTTTTAGCATAGCCCCTCAACCAACTACGCTACCGCGTGCCCCCACGCTACCAAAGCGCCTCGTCATACTGAGTGAGAAACACTAGTCATGTCAGGAATATTTCTTGTGCTCGGCCTCGAGATACTGTTTGTTAACATGATATGTTACACGTGTATGTACACATGGGGGTCTTGTAAATAGTCCCATATTGTGAAGTACTGAATTAATCAAATGCTCTATTCAGCGGGCTGTGGTTTACCCCACCCAAAGCGCCCGATCGTTAGCAGGCCGGGAACGTCGTGACGGGGCTCCGTTCTCTTTCATTTCCTCAGCGCTAAGAGTAAGTGAACAGTTCCTCATCAGAGATGGTTGAGTGAACAAGAAAGGTCGCTTATTTGCGGGCGTGCGCTCTCCTCTGACCCCATGTATTAGTAACGCTTTGTGCCAACGCAACGCGTATCACGTGCCATGCTCCCCCTAATTAAACGTATCTCTCTCCACGGACCCATTGTACATGGTAGAAAAACTGGTTCCACCTGATCAACTACAAAATCGAATTCTCCCCCATTTTGGCATTCTCTTTCCCTTAAAGCTAGTTATTCGTTCTAATTCATGGCTTTTGTAGACAAAGTAACGGGCCATTGAGGTGAGACGTCGAGGCTCCCATTTTTCCTTGACACTTGGCTCACAGATGGCAGTAAGGCTGTCAGCCTTGTCAGAGGCAAAGCGTTTTGCAATCCAATAGAGCACTTGTTAAGTATTTGTATTCACCTGATGATGACCAGATAAAACGGTCGAAACATGTTGTGACATTAGAAAAACGAATTAACTGTTATCCACTGTGTTGCATTAGACGGAACATGATAATTGAACAGTACAAATTATGAAACATCTCGTCTATACTGAAGCTACGGAAAATTGTCCCACGGATGGTGGGATGCCAAAGCTTGTTGCTCCTCCTATTTTTATATTCGCCTCCATTTTCCTCTGTCCTGTAATAACCAGCCCAAAATCTCTTATCGCTAGAAAGGGGAAGCACGTTGGATAGGGAATCCTAACAGCTCGTGGGAGACGTGGGGTCGGCCGAACGATTGGATCTCTTTCCGTTGCCTTACTGTAGGTTCAGATATTCTCCAGTATTCTGAACAAATGGATAAACCCTGCTGTTAACTAAAAGGCCGTGTATTACCTTGAGTAGTAAAGTGTACATATTCCCTTTATAGTTGAAAAGTATCCTGTTATTACAGTATACACGCCACATTTCATTCAGTGTTTTGAGCATTATGCTCCTTTGTATGAATGTCGACCGTTTATTTGATAGGTTTGTTCACGGTATTGTTATCATATGTTGTAATTTGTAACACACATTTACCAGGGCTTCGTGTAATGAGCCTGCTTTGTGTTGGCTCACGTACTGAACTTACAGACTTACGGCCAGCTGCATGGGATACAAGCACTGCCAGATAATCAGGGAATAGGAGCTGTGACATGCCAACTCTGACGCCTGTCAAAATAAATCGACCCTTCTCTTTTGAGAAGTCTACAGAGAGAAGAAAGCTACACAGAACCTTGAACAGGAGTTCTTCCGGAGCATCAGAGGTTCTCACAGCGGTGTCATGAAAAGTTCTGTCTTCCGGGATATAAACCTTATAGTCCGTTGAAAGTCTCACTGACGTTTCGGAGGAACATGTCGCCTTTTTATCATCGGGAACGAAGAATAAACCAAGAAACCAGACTGACGCAGGTAGCAAGTAGAGATCTCATGCTTGACTTATTCTCAGATCTTGAAGATGGAGGCGAAATGTTCCTCCGAAACGTCGGTTGACTTTCAACGGGCTACATAGCGTTGTATCCCAGATGATAGAATTCTTCAGCAGTTCTTTAGTATTCGAAGTTTTCAAAGCGGTGACTCTGAAGAGTTCTATTTTCTTGGCTGTGACTCCGTGTAATACGATATCTAATCGACGTTTCGGAGGAACTCACTACGTCCGTCTTGGAAGTCGAAGGGTGTTAATGTTGTGCTGTGTTAGGTATCGGCCTTGCGACGGGCTGATCGCTCGTCTAAGGAGTCTTGCCGTCTGTGAAAAATGATTACGGAACTGAAGAAGAGGCCGGGGCGCTGAATGGGGTGGAAGAGCCATTGAAAAAAGAAACAATCCATGAATAATGTGCAGTTTAGCTCTGGGTTATCTGTCGTGGCCACTGTGTGGATGATTGTGACCGGAAATCATACTCTAATGAAATATCGTTACCGTTTTTCATTTGTAAATGCGTTATATATAATTGCTATGTTTATTGCCAGTGCTCAGTAACTAACATTAACGTAATCCACGTAACATAGTCCTTCGTGACGCTGATGTTGCTTGGTTCCCCAAGAAATTCTGTCTCTCTTGTTGAACCGAAGGTTCATTAACCATGTTCACAAGAGCTCAGCGCTGGTCGGATCGGGCAAATTGCTGCTGGGTCTCGCCAGCACATTTTTGGTTCCGAACGCACGATCATATTTTACTGTCTCACGACTCTTGGAGTATTGCAACCACTGTTCAACTCTAAGACTATTATCACTGGTCGCTATCCTCAGCTGTATTAATCTAACCACGCCCTCCCAGAGTTTTTTAAGTTTGGTTTTCGTATCCTGCCGTCTACGCCTATGTCTTGCAATTAATCTCTTTTCATCAAGCTTCCAGACCAATACGCTGTATCCATTATCATCTCTAGCATACCCGCCACCCTCCCCGCCCATGTCACTGCGTCTTTTGATGATAATATTAAAATTTGACGCAGGATGCGAGTATATGGAATAAACTGACGGAGACGGCGTACAATGGGTGGTATTTATCTTTGGGGATGGAGCGGAAGGCAAAGAGCTCTTCACCCCTTTTGAACACGGTAATGAACCTTCGGGTTGCATTAAAGACGGTGAATTGCTTGACTAGCTTAGCTACTGTCAGTTTCTAAAGAAATATACCTGTTGCATGGAGCGCACGAAACGTTAGCTGCAATATTTATAAGATTTTATGAAGATGGGACGAATTGTAAGGGATAAATTCCATTTTCTTGAGAAGGAAATGGTTTAAAGACATTACAACAATGAAATATAACTTTAGTTGAAAACCAGACGATAATGAGTTTCCCTTTTTATTAGGCACGCTGTCAAACTAAAGGGTTGATGTCCTGCAGTTCAGAAATCCAAGTATAGGGGCCACCACCCGCGTCCGATCTTGCTACGCGATGCAGTAATAGTGACAATAATCTCTGCCTTTGTCGAGGCTTTCGTCTTTCTTTGGCCCACCGTACGTGCTCAAGCGGCAGGCTCTGCCTTACACTTCCTGTGAGCTCATTTCCGGCCTTCGTTCGCCATATAGCATGCGCAGAATAGCCGCCATTTCATCTCCGAGACCACACGTAACTTAAGAAAACACGATTGTTCTTCCGGCCCGTGTGGACTTCTACCCTCAACACAGTCAGAAAGTCCTCGCTCTAATCCCATTTTCTCCTAAATACCATGTGTCTTTTTTTAAAGCATGTACTCAACTGTGAACAGAATTGTTCATTTTTCATATTTAGAGCTGGATTATCCAACATCTGGATTAACCGTAACCGGATTAGCGAGGATTTACTGCCATATGACCCTGACCCTGGCAGGTGTATTGTCGTAGACAGGTGTCCCAACAGTCATAGGATTACATGAGTGTAATGTCTGTTGCAGAGTAAATGTGATGTGGCGAGCCTTGTGGAGCGGTATTTAGGCCCTTTCTACCCGAACTTCCAGCGAGTTCGTCCCATTCTGGTGCGACAAGCCCGCGATCTGTTAGTGTGCACTTTCCATGGCAACCTGCTTCAGTTTGAGCACGACTTCTGTATTCCAGCCTCCGAGTTGCTTCATGCAGTCAGAGACATCGCCAACAAGAAGGTATGTGCACAGAGAAACCATTATACAGAACAAAAATAAAGTCAAGGAATATCATACAACTGTGACCTTGGTGTATTAACTCATTAGTTTGACTTTTTATAGTGATGCAGATGTGGCATTCTATAGTAATGTTTCTGTGACTGCTTGCTCGACTCCTCCAGAATTCTTCGAAGGAAAGGGACAGACAAGGATGCTGCTTACAAACTCACATTTAACACTTTTCTTTTACTGATCAACCTGTAGTATTCGGGAGGGAAGAACATTTTAAATACTTTTAATTTCTGGTCTTACTATTTCATATGTTATTTAAGTACTGTCGGGTGTCTTAAGCAACTTTAAAAGTTGCAGCCATATTGCCTACTACGTTATTGTTGACAACCTTAGGAGTCTGTTTGTAAACAAGGATTCGAAACATAACCTTAGAATTTACCTCTAACAAGTTAACAAAGCCAAGCTTTTGATTTTAAGAAGTTGAGCCTTATGTTCTATTTTGATACAGTTAGACCGATTTTTCTTATTTTTAATAAAAAATATATATGACCATTTCCTACAGTTAGGCCTTTTGTTTTGTTTTTACAAGTAAACTTATGCGGTTGGCAACGCTAACGTGGTGGACAAGATGGCGGTCGCGTCTTAAAGTTGCTTGGGTCACATGCTAATACGTAAGCATCTTGTTTCGAGTGCAGAGAAGACAGACATCATGAGAAATGTTGCAGTGATGCCATACGTACCACATCTGGTATTTTGCATTTTTTTTTTTCGTGTATATAACAAATGGAGACAGTTTCATTGAATTTTCAACAGGAATTGCACTAAACAGTGTCTAACACATTTTTTGGGGGGTACATCATCCTTAGATAGTGACGTATATACTTACGTCATCAGTAGAAAGTTACCATAGTCTGTGTTCAACAAACGATGGTATCGGAAGTTGCCATACCAGGGCTGTTCTTTGATAACATTGACTACTCAAGGTACGACATAACCTCAAAAATGTTTTAGACAACGTATAGAACTTTATAGTTTATTATTATTAGTATTATTATTTTAACTACAAATGGGTTTTACTCAGTATCAGTGGTACTACAATAAGACACAACACACAAATCACAGCACACAAAACTACACAAACAATAAAGAACACACTACACACAGTGAATACAAATAAATACAAGTACAACTACAATTATATAATTTAATATTAAAAATAAGCATACTATACACTAAACAGTAACAGTCATGAAATACTTAATGTCATGTTCTGATGGGCCCACATTTCACCACGACCTTCCTTTCATTCCACTTCACTACACTTACGTACCCTTCACATCCTCACCTCACCTCAGTTCACTACATTTTGATCATTTTCCCCAAACCTTCACTTCACATTGTTTATCGCTTTCCTAACTTACTTACTTACTTACTTACTCATAGAGCTGAGTCCTTCTGGACGAGCCGCCAATTCTGCAGCTACTCAAGAATTTCCCAGCATTTTATGGAACCTGAAGGTTCATCACCGTGTTCACAAGAGCCCTCCACTGGTCCCTATCCTGAGCCAGACCTATCCAATCCATATCATCCAATCCTGTCTCTCTAAGATCCATTCTAATATTGTCNTGGACAACAGACGAGAAGACAAAAGGTTCTGGACTGAATGGTAGCAAACATTACCCGAGTTCAATCGCCTCTTAATTTCCTCCTGAATCAGGTTTCGAAGTGTTATCGTTGTTCCCAAATATATGAACTGTCCCATATTCTCAAAACATCTGTTTCCTATTTTTAGGTCATGATTTTGCCTCGCATTTTGGTGACGAGACAGCAACATATACTTAGTTTTCTCTGTGTTTACTTCTAAACCAACCTCTTTACTTGCGTCAGTTAAGGATTGTGTGTTTTTCTTTATGGTATCTACATTGTCACCCAGTAGATTCACATCATCGGCGTAGACCAACATCTGATGTGTCCCGTTTAATTTCAGTCCCACCTAGTTTCCCTGGACCTTCCTAATTGCATATTCTAAGGCAAAGTTGAAAAGGAGTGGCGATAAAACATCTCCTTGTTTTAGACCATTCTGGATAGGAAATCTATCAAACAAATGTTTACCTACACGGACTTTACTGTACGTTTCGTTTAAACACATTTTAATCAACCTAACTAGTTTCATGGGTATCCCAAACTCTATTAGAATATTGTACAATACTTCCCTCCTAACTGAATCATAGGCTTTCTTGAAGTCTATGAATAGCTGATGTACTGTCTCATCGTACTCCCATTTCTTCTCCAATATCTGACGAATGCAAAAGATCTGATCTGTAGTTGATCTGTTACGTGGAAACCCACACTGATAATCCCCAATAATTTCATGTATATATGGACTTAACCTTGAAAGAAGAATATTGGACAAAATTTTCTATGAAGTTGATAGCAGTGATATCCCCCGATAATTACTACAGTCAGTTTTATCACCCTTCTTGTGAACTGGTACAATAATAGACTCCTTCCACCGATCGGGCAATTTGTCCTTATGCCAAATAGAAGTAATTAGATTGTGGATCTTAGAACGTAATATTTCGTCTCCTGCTTGAATAAGTTCTGCCGGAATTTGATCACTACCTGTCGATTTATACCTTTTCAATTTTGCAAAGCACTTTCAACCTCAAAAGGGCTAGGTTCAGGTATTAAGGGCTCAGCTGTATCGATTTCTGTTTGCCTAACATCACTGACCCTATGTACATTCAGTAACTGAGAGAAGTAGTTCCTCCACCTATTCAAAATGTTGTGGGAATCTGCAAGCAGATCACCATTCTCATCCTTCACTAAGTTACTGCTAGGCTGGTAACCCCTCTTAAAGTCATTTATTCCCCTATACAGGTTTCTAATGTTCTTGTTCTTACTGTTCTTTGCAAGCTCATCAATTTTGTCTTTCAGATATTCCCTATTTTTGTTCCTGAAATGCCTGCTGGTTTCACATCTTATATTGTTCAGATTATCCCCATTTAACTCGCTTGGATCCTGTAACCATTGCAATTTGGCCTGCTTTCTTTGATCTAATAAAGTTGAGCATCCTTCATCGAACCATGGCTTATGCTTCTTCGGTTCATAATAACCTAGACTCTCTTTGGCAGACATTTTTATATTCTCTCTAATAGTTTCCCAAGCTTTATTAACATCCACCTCAGTGTCCAAGTTTTCCAAAGTCGTGAACCTAGTTGAGATTTCAACACGATACTGCTCTTTACCCTTCTACCTCATTTAATTTCTTGAGATTGAACCTCTCCATATGAACTCTGTGTGTTATTTGTTTGCTCACTGCCAGTCTTTCCCTAACCTTTGCCACCACCAGCTAGTGGTCAGTATCACAATCTGCTGCCTTGAATGATCGGACATCAAGTATACTCGAGTGCCGTCTCCTGTCTATCAAAATATGGTCTATTTGATTGTGTATCTTCCAATCAGGAGATGTCCAAGTAAACTTATAGATGTTACGATGTGGGAACATTGTACTGTTGACAGTAAGATTTTCTGATGTGGGAAAGTTTACAACTCTAACTCCATTGTCATTACTAATTTCCTGCAAACTCTCATTCCCAATTGTTGGTTTGAAGATGTCTTCCTTCCCTACTTTGGCAGTGAAATCTCCTAACAAAATTTTCCTAGGGTACTTTGGGAATTTATCAAATACATGTTCTAGTTCTTCATAGAGTCTATCCTTTATGTCATCAATTTTATCTTCTGTTTGGGGCGTGAACATTCCTAACAATGATATCACACCAGCGACCTTTTAGTATTATATATGATATCCTATCACTAACGAACTCCACCCTCTTAACTGCTGATACGATTCTCTTATGTACGAAAAAACCTGTACCTGATTCATTATTTTCATTCCCCTTTCCATAGAAAAATGTTTAGTCTCCTGCAGGTGCGATGTCACCTGCATCCCATCTGACCTGTACTCCCGCTAAATCTAACTTATATTTTAAGATTTCTTCTGCCACTGTCCTGAGCGAACCTGCCCTATACAAACTCCGAACATTCCACGTGCTAAATCTCATATCCATTTTCATTAGCTTAGGTCGTTTATCCAAAGAATCCGTCCAGGTCCGAGGGTTTGTGTTCATTTTCGTAACATAATGATTTTTTACGGTTAGGAGTTAAACCCCACGCCCAACCCCCAAGCTGGAGGGCCACCTCTTGTCGGCTGTCCTCGACTGCTTATTCAATATATTCGCAGCTTCCCTCCAAACCTGGAGGGTGTCTCCTCCATCCGCAACCTGAGGACGTGCCATGCCGAGGTGACAGGGACCCTCCTAATAACCTAACATGGATCGCTTTCCTAAATCTTTTCTTAAATTACTTGATTTATTGGAGAGTTTGTGTAAGCGTCACTTTATTATTATTAGAAGGCCCACGCCTTCTCTCAATTGTAGTAGAATTAAATGCCTCACAAAACCGGCCGTTGTTGTAATCTGAAGAGAATTCTGCTTTCTTCAGTTTGCTAACCAGGACAGTTACTCTTTACTATTTGGTTATAGCGAGCTCCTTTCTTAGAGCGATTCTCGCTATGTGGCCACTTCTTTATGGTCTTACAAAACTATGGACTTTTTTATTCCGTGGTAAAAATATGAGGTATATTATTTAAATGCATTCCATAATAATTTAAATGTCTTAAAACACCGGTATATAAATAGGAAAATGACTTACGAGTGGATATTTTAGCCTCAAGGTGATATTAGATGTTTTGGTATTCAAAATATTCTTCGCTGTAATTGGGAGGTGTGGCATTAGGATGTATGTTCCATGCGAGGCTGTGGGCAGTCTGCTGCCGCTTTATGCCCGCCGGGCCGGACCCGACTCGCTAGTTTTAGGAGCGGAGAAACTGTCCACTGCTCGACCTACATGTGCTGAGTATCAGTTCCCGTGTTGCTATGTTAGTCATTATCGCCTGTACTAGATTATAACGCAGTGTTCTCTGTGTTGTCCAGCATGCAGCATGGCGA